TTGAACTTATTCAAATAGACTTTAAAGCTTAATTTTAAAAATTGACCACTCTGCTTGAAATCTTCCATCAACATGGTCATCATTGGGGGTTTAAACATTTAAAGTTTGTGTATTTGAAGAGCATTTAATTTTGTTAGTTTGGACGTTTTAGGATACAAGTCTTTCCGACTCCTGTTCTTATAAGGAGGAAAATCGGACTAGGTGATTTGGATTTGTAAAATCTTATTTTAAGATTAGAACATTTTGTTCGAAATTACTAGACTTGTCAACTCTAGTCTTTGCGAGGAGCAAAATCAGATTAGTTGAGTGAGACTTACAATTCTATCTTATAGATAAGACGACCCGATTAGCCCGCATAATATTCTCGAACCTAATATTTGAGCATTCATTACTTTTGTTGGAGCACATGTGGGTTTTAAATTTCATGTATTTGAGCTTATTTTAGCAACTATGTATGTCTTAAGGTAATTTACATAATTCTAAAATAAGAATTGAGTCCATAATTACTTTAAAATTCACATGTAAGACTTGAATTTATATAAATTTGTCTTATTTGAATGAGTAGGTTGATGCATTCATATATTCACTTTAATTGCTTGAAAATTGTCTTCTGTTTGCTTGCACATATGTTGTGAACTTGGTGGCGATGAGACGGATGAAGTCCTTATTAAGTATTTAAAACTAACATTTATGTTTTAAGCTTAGTTGCAATTTATGATATTTCATATTTAATTCAATTTGTGAGCCCCTAAACTTCTACTCAATTAAGCTTAGCCTCAATTTATTATGTTTCACATTTATGTCAAGCTCAGCCCCCAAATTATGATAGTTCATATTTAAATCAAGCTCAAACCCTAAATTATAAAATTTGATATTCAACTTATGTTTATCCTCTCAACTTATGATATATCATATTTAGATCATTTTGTAAGTTCAAATATTCTACTATTAAGTTATTTACAAGTCAAAAAAAGTCTACATTTTAATTTATTGCAATTTCCAAACTTCACATTTTTAAGTATTTTGCAAGTCAATATCACCCGAAATTTGGGCAGTCTCTCGATGTCAACTTCTATTAGGGGCCGCCGGGAGAATGTCAGCATTCCCAACCGTCTTAAAAGGCTTACTAGTCAATTTCATGAGACAAAACAATCGGGAAGCAAAAGTACATATTCAACCCGCGGTCTAAACAGACTCAACTGGCCTTCAATAAACTTGCAAAAAAGGTCAAATCGAGAAATTTTCTTTCCCAAACGGTACTTAATTCTCAATGAAAAGTATTTGAAAACCACTTGTGGGTGCCAGTCTAATAGCTTTTCGGTAATCGCTAGAACATTAATTTTATTTGCATATATTTCTAGGTATTTTTTAGGAGAAGTTATCTTTAATCACTGTACATCTCATTAAGAAATTACTCTCAAGGTTACTTAAATTTTATTTCCTTTCCATAACCTCTTTATTTTTCAAGAACAAAAATTATTTCTTCTATTTCCTAAAGAGCCTTTAGTTTTTTTGCGTTCACTCACATTCATTGTTAGCTTTAGAGCAAACTATGCTCTAAAGCTCAAAGATATCTTTATTAAACACTCTCTAAATCGAAAAGTGTACAAATGACATTCTTTGGTGCCTTGAAAATATTTATAGTTCGTGAAGTTAACCTTGAACACCATTCTTAGCATGCCTAATTGCAGATTTAAGTGGAAATTCTAGAACAGGAATTTTATGTTTGGAGTTTATTTGATCATTTATCAATTTTTCTTTTCAGACCCATGAACAAAAATTATTTATTATTGCCCCTAGCCTTCTGAAGCTCTACCAGAATCAAAAACTTCGTTATAACTTAGTTAATACGCCCTACGTCATGGAGAATGGGCTTTGTATCTACACCAAAGGAAAACCCAAAGGGGAGCGATCAACATATCTCCAGCACACCCAATAATTTGAATCTAGTTTAAGGACCAATAATATTTAAATTGTTGAAAATAAATATAAAGATGATGGTACTTTGCTTCATTATCCTATTACCATAAGAAAATGGGTGAGGCCATGTACCAAACACCCTTACTATGATTTCATTGCTTATAGAAAGCTTTTTCCTGTATGTTGTCATTTCGCCAAGTCTCTGATGCAACATTGATGCCAAATAGTATTCATGATGCTCTCAAAAGCGGAAGAAAGCTGTAATGGAAGAAATCTATGCCTTAGAAAAGAATGGTTCTTGCGAAATATATAAACTTCTGCTAGGAAGATGACTAGTTAGATGCAAATGGACCTCTACAATCATATATAATGCGTATTGAAGTGTGTATAAAACTAATGACTGACATATTACAAATGAGTGCATTCAATATTATAGTATTAATTATCAAAAACGTTTCTTTTTGTTTGATAGAAGTGACAATTTGAGTTTTGCTTTCTCTTGCATTAAATTTGGATCGTCTTCTTTAACTACTCGATGTTAAAAATGCTTTTAGAGAAGGTATGTATGGGGATCCTTCCTAGATTTAAAGATAAAAAAGCACCAATAAGTTATGTAGACTCAGGAAAGCTATATATGAACCAATGATCCTAGAACTAGTATATCTCATCAATGTTGTAGCATGTCCAATTCAATGACGATTTTTTTCCTCTTTTTGCATCATCAAAAGGGGATGCAAACAAGTTAATAATATTATCAATCTATAGAAACTTAGAAAAACGTACTCATTTGTGGAGAAGCAAACATGGGTAATTATGTTGTTCAATAAAACCAGCCTGTTTGAAATACCAACAATAAGGCTAAGTAGTCCAACCGCCAGATCGTTCACCAATTTTAAAAGTTTTTATAGTTCAGCAACCTTATATAAAAGATTTATTAAAAATTTTAACATAATTGTTGCTCAGTTCACAAAAATTTTAAAGAAAGATAAATTTATGTGGACTACAAGTACAAATAAATTTGTGGAACAAGTTAAAGTGCTTATGACCTCTTTGCCTGTTTTAAAACTTCTTAACATTAATGAATATATGAAGTGAACTATGGTGCTTCAAGTGTTGGGATTAGAGGGATATTAAGTCAAGAGAACCATTCAGTGGTTTTCTTAGCGAAAATTGGAATGATACTAGATTGAAATATTTTATATATGAGTAGGATATGCTCGTATAAGGGAGAAATACTAAGTGATTATGGCTTCTCATTGGTTTCCCTCCTGCCTGAGGTTTTCGGATGGTTGTCGTTATTACTGTAGTTATAAAAGCTATTCCACTAGATCTCACCACCAAAATTTCTTTATAGCCATTTGTACACTTTTTGATTTAGAGAGCATCCAATAAAAAAATACTTAAGATTTAGGGCTTAATTTGCTCTAAAGCTAAGAATGAATGTGAGTGAATGCAAAACAACTAAGGCTCTTAGGAAAAAGAAATATTTTTTGGTCTTGAGAATTTAAAAGGTTATGGAAAGGAATTTAAATTTAAGTACTCAAGAGTAATTTCTTAATGAGATGTTTCCTAAACAATATAACTGCCTAAGGTTTTCTCTTGCATTAAATTTTGCATATTCCCTTCCTATTGCCATTCCACTACATCTCATTTCCAGAACCGATCTTTAAATCCTTCTAGGAAACCTAGAATGATGTCACTACATCATCATATCTCACTAAGTTATATTGATTTTTTTGCATATCACACTCTTGAGCTGTTTGCATTTTTTTTAATTAAAATACATAATTTTATTAAACAAGCCAATTTACCTATTTCTTGGGTTGTGCCTAAACATTTTAGAAAATACTTCTATTATTTAGGAAATGCATTTCTCCGCCATAAAGGCGTAATGTGTAATTAATTGATCAATCTTCCTCGAGTATTACTTATCGATTTTCCCTAGCTTTTGAACTGTTACAATTTGACTATCTCTGCATGTAATTGTTTTTTAAAATTATTTCGATTCTTCCTAATGTGTACTCTTTTCAACCGCATTTTCATTGACTTGGTTTCTCAAGTTGAGGGCTCCTTTCATCTTTTTGATTCTGCCTTTCATTCCTAAAGCTGAAATCATGATACCTAGCTCTTTCATCGGCCAAGAATTTCTCAACTTTCCACCTGTTCAAAACTCTACCCATAGCTTTGTTGATGACATTTGTGTGGAACCTCAGGTACTGCTTCCATGATTCTAGCTGGCTTCATGGAAAAATGTCATTCAAGAAAGATTTACTGATGGAAATGGAGTGGATTAGTAGAACATGAGTGGTGCTGCTCGCATGGGGGAGAATGGTGAAATGGAGAAATCATTTATTGACAAGGGAGAGCCACTACTTATGTGCTTGAGGGGAATGCCTTGCCATATCTTAATTTTTTTTCATTAAAAATTGGGTCTGGTAACATAAACCCAGGGTAGGCTCATTTGCTCCAAGAATCAATATAAAATATTAAATGAGTTAATTATGCAGTAGTGTGGAAATGACAACTACAATTGTTTAGAGAGTTGTTGTTCATTCTTATGGCATCATAGTGCATTTGTCCGATGATAGGAGAAATCATGGAAGACCTGATTTCAAATTCACTGTAGATCCATGCCTCAACGGCTCACAATCATTTACTTAGCATTTTATGGTTACTTTTTCTTCCCCGTTGGCTTGCCTTTATGCCGGATCACATTGTTTCTAAATAAGCTTGAGTATAGCATATTTAGCTGACTAAATTAATGTACATATAATGGTTCATTTTGAGTAAAATAATCATTACGTTGACAATTAGGTATTCTCTTTGGATGTTTATTTAACGCACTTTAATAGAACTCATTTTGTCAAAGCTTAATCCATGTAATAGGAATTGCCCTCCAGAGTTGCTTGAGGATGTTGCTACTTGGGTATATAGCATATTTAGCTGACTAAATTAATGTACATATAATGGTTCATTTTGAGTAAAATAATCATTACGTTGAAAATTAGGTATTCTCTTTGGATGTTTTTTTAACGCACTTTAATAGAACTCATTTTGTCAAAGCTTAATCCATGTAATAGGAATTGCCCTCCAGAGTTGCTTGAGGCTGTTGCTAGCATCATCTTTGCTTCTCCAAGATGCTCAGATGTGCCAGAGTTATTGCAGGTCCGTAACTTGTTAACAGCAAAATATGGAAAGGATTTTGTTTCAGCTGCTGCAGAGCTACGGCCAGATAGTGGTGTTAATCGAACAGTAAGAAGCATTTCTTTCTTTTTTATACTCGAGCAAATAAAAGAAGCTCTATATATTCTTTTTCTTGTTTGGATTATGGTTCTTTTTCTTACCTGCATCCATTCTTTGTCTGAACTCTCGGCACGCGGGATTCTCATCCGTTCTCTGCAGGTGATCGAGAAGCTCTCGGTGGGAGCTCCACCTGTTGATATAAGACTTAAGATTTTGAAGGAAATTTCTCAAGAGTATAATCTTGATTGGGACACCTCTAGCACCGAGAAGGAATTCAGCAAAAAACACGAGGACTTGCTGGTATCTTTTTTAGCTTCACTTTATTCTAATTTATCGTTTGCTTCTGCGAAACTTTTTTTTTCTCATGAAGTTATTTTATATAAGAGCATATTGTGGGTCCTTATTGTTTAGTACAATTAACATGGCAATCATTGCATTATTTTCATTTAACTTGGTATTTAGACTTTTACGAACATAATATTGACATGAGTTTACATGTTTTAATTTCCCTTTACCATAACTTGGTTCTGTTATTAGTTTCTCTATTTATATATTGTATACTATATAATAAGTCATAATGAGCGGAACTTTCCCACTTTCTTAAGGGATGCGAAAAAGATCTGTTCTGGGATGAGGCATTTCTATATATTTTACATCTTTTCTTATTTTTTGATGTTTAGTTTATATTCTTTTAACGAGTAGTGTCGTTTAGCTTTTCAATAGAAACCTTATTTCAATTTGGTGACTTTTCAATTTTTAATTTTCTTATTTTTATTTTTATATTTATATTATATATAATAAGGGCAAAGCAAAAATTGCTTCCATCTATATTTATATTTCACCTTCAATTTTTTTGTGGGTCTCCATGATCGAATTAGTTGAGGTCATTCAAAATAAATAGTACTTCAAAAAATTGGGGCCCATAAGGGCGAGCGGTCACTTGTGTTACCCAAATAAGTATTGTGTTTATAACTGTGACCACGATCACGACATTGTAGAATGTCAACACTAAAGAAATTTGGTAGAATAATTGATCAAAATTGGGAAACTAAATGAGTTCATACTTACTAAATCTTATACTATTAAACATGGAAAGAAACCTAAGGGAAATGACTATTGTGGCTATTTACTTAGTTGTAGTAGTCTTCACCATTCTCGAGGAGATGTGAACTTGTTAAGTTCTTCCAAACAGTTACCTCTCTCGCAAAGCAACCCGTTTCACGACATGTTTAGTGAGATTCACCGACGCCAACGATGCAATGGAGGGATATACTTATTGGAACCTGCCATACGATGTGAACTCGTGCATGTTTTTCTTAACATGGCGAGGGAAATTTGACGACGCTCACATTGCAATGGGGGATATACATATGGTTGTGAATTTTTCTTTTAAATATCTCATGTGCGTCTTTCTTGGCGTGGTGGGTTTCAAACATTTTGGCTGTGGTGTCTCATGACATTGGTCATGCATGCCTTTTTTGGCATGGTCGTTAGTCCTAGTTTCTTGAAGTAGCCCACCTCGTGGGGATAACACTGGAAAATTGTTGAAATATTGCCAAAAAATCATATAATAAATTATGCTATTATTTTGTGACTAACCTTGTAATTACCCCATGTGCGTTTTTCTTGGCGTGGTGGGTTTTAAATATTTTGGCCGTGGTGTCCCGCGATACAAACATGCATACCTCTCTTGACATGATGGTTAGGCCCAGTTTTTGAATGCAACTCCCTCGCAGGGATGATCCCAGGAGGTTGCCAAAATTCTGTTGGAATGTGAACTGAATTAGAGATTAACTTAATCAAAACAAAAGAATCCAAAAGATTAACCAAGCAAAAAAAAAGCTAAGCAAGCTAAGAAGTTATACAACTAAAAACTGAAATTGATTCTTAAGTTGACTCAAAATTATATGAGCAAAAGGGGGGAACAATAATGAAATCACAAAATTTTGAAGTATTGAATTACAAGCAAAACAACTCCTACCTCGAGTGTAATGCCATATGTTGCCTAACACTTCCAAAAGGTGAAGGGAGATTTAAATCAAATGTGGAATGAACTAGCCTTATACCCCTTTGTTCATAGAGAGAGTGTTCATGCATTTTTGGGGCCCACTGGTGTTAAACAACTGAAATAAATAGGAAATTTTGTCACCGGATCCGAAAACCTTTGCACTAACGGACAGAAGGCAAAATCAATATTTAAATAAAATATTTGTAAATACTTTAATGATAACACATTTATGCAAATAACTAAAAAATCCCTAAAAGTCAGTCAAAATTCACTTATGTTATCTTAGAGTTGGATTTATTATGTCTGTTGTAATTATCATTTAACAAGAATTAAACTTTCTTAAAGATTTTTGGATGGTTCATGTTTAATTTGCTTAATTTTTAGCTTATGTGAAATTCATATATTTTGAGGATGAAATTTTATATGGAGGGGAGATTGTAATAACTAGAATTTTAAATAATAATAATAATAATAATAATAGTTAAATAAAATTAGTATTGGATGAGTTGTTTTGAATAGAAGCATCTCTTTGTGTACAACTTAAAGAGTCGAATAACCCCTATTCACAACAACGTAATCGAGAGAGCGAGAGACGAAGCCGTGGAAGGTGAAGGGAAATTGTTACCGTTTGCATGCGCAATAAGTGTTGCCATCCTGGGTGAGTTGTTGTGGGATACGAGTCGAAGACGAAAAAGAAGAAATAGATAATGAGTAAAACAAGGAAGATGAGTCGAGCGAGATCAAAGAAGGAGAAGAAGAAGACTCGTGTGCTAGAAGGGAGCCAAAGTTTTTGTGTGTTTCTCTAGGTTGAGTTGAAATCAAAGGAGAGGGAGAAGAGAGAGCTCGCATGCCCGATCTAGTGCAGCCGACCGATCGACTCGTCTGTGAGAAGAAGGGAGGTTGAATGGCTTAAGCATGCGTGACTATGCTTCCTTCGAAGGGTTAATGCTGACAGCAAACAGGTTAGAATTTATGTTATTTTATTATATTAGAATAAGGAATAACAAGTTAGATTAATGCTATGACCAATACTTTAAAATATTGCTATTTATAATAAAAAAATATTGAAGCAATCAATAATTTGATTTGAGTTTCAAGACGAGCAAGATTAGTGATAGATGTAAGGGTTCAATTTAATTAAAGATATTAATTATTTATTTATGATTCAATGTCAGAAGAAGAAACAGAAGGAAAGAGGCCAAACCAAGTCAAATTGTAAGGAAGTAAGAGGAGTCTAGTGTGCAGGGAAGAAACCTAAGCTTTTTAAGATAAGAGTTTATTCATGAAAAAAAAAAAAAAGGT